ATTAATTTCAACGACGAGCTATGGGACTATCAACCAATAACTAAACTTCTGCACTCAAGAGCTTGAAGAAGTTTCATCAAGTCGAACTTCACGCTACCGATCGTTCAAACAACGTCATTCGATACCGGGAATGGCAAACTGCATGATCTCCGTTTCCCATGAGGTGCTAATCACCTTGAAAAGTTTGCGGGCTCCTAAAAAATTGAAGAAGATGGACCACCATTGGATACATCATTTCTCGCTGACCAGATCTTCAATTCATCTCATGTAATAAACTGAACATAGCACAACAAAGGCTCTCAAAAACTGGCGTGTCGCCTGATATTCTCATTGGCCGGGGCATCGTTCAAACGGTCATAGATCGTAGTGCCCCAGTGCTGACACTTCCTTTGGCATTGAATCTCATCCCCCCTCTACTTTTTTCGATTACACCATATCTAGAACAAACATAGTCACAGCAACAGCAAGCACTACCGACGTCTGTGGAATCTCACTAGTGGTAGCGGCCCCAACAGTTTACCAGGGAAAGACTACAAGCAGGGCATCAAACATTTCTATGAGCATTTCCTGGTTTGAAAAAAAAAAACAAAAAATTCCGAAAAAACTCAAAGAACAAACTCAAAGACAACTCATTGCTTTTCGCCAAATGCATATACCTTTTATTCCGCATAGACATGTCTGATCCTGGGAAGACAACTAAACTTTCAATTTCTTTAACGCTTCATCTCACGGAAGAAACGCTGAGTCTCAATGACGCTTCATATTAGAAGAACATGCCCTCACACCCCAATCTATGAGGTTCCATTGCTCTTCCGCACATACAAACATGGAGGAGATAGTGTGCACGCAGATTACCTATGCTGCCTTCTGCAATGAGAATACAGTACAGACAGTTGCTATACTTCAAGCGCTCGTCAATATGTAGACAGCCGAATGGCGGCAACTCCTGTCAAGTCATGTACCCCGTCTACGTTGTACATTGTACACCAACTTCACAGGCGATGTGTATCCGGGCAAGCATGCCTTCTATGTATATGTATAAGGAGCCCTTAAAGGCAGCGTCCCACCAGATTGGCGGGTACCCGACTCTGGTGTTAATGTCATAGTAGACCCCCCAACTAAGCTACGAAGAAGTTTGCAGCGCGAAAGGGGGTCTACGAAGTCTAATAGCCCTCAGGTGGCCCGAATCTTACGGTAGGCCCGAACACCGCCCACAGATCAATTTCGAATTGCAAGGCGCACGCATAGTGCACAGAGTCATGAGTGCAGGGTCCCACAACGACTCCGCGTCTCTACTTTGCATGCATCTCGTGCTCGCCCGAGCCTCCCGTAAGATCCGGGCCACTTGGAGGCGATTTGTAGACTTCGTAGACCCCTGTCGCGCTGCAAACTTCTGTCGTCGCTTAGTTAGGAGGTCTACTATTACATTACTACCAGAGCGGTACCCCCCAGTTTGGTGGGACGCTGCCTTTAGCTGTACTCTAGTCGCTCTCTCTGTTGGAATCCACGTCATCTTTGCGGACAAACCTATATTCCACTTTGTCTACCAATTTCACTTAGTACACACCAAAATCATAATAACTCCATAAAGATTCAATTTTCGCATTCAACATTTTGAGGAAAGTTTTACATGAAAAAACGTTTGGTATGAGAAGTTGTTTGCAGCTTGTTCGTGATGATCCGCATCGTGCGGTAAGTTTCAAAGCCGCTATTATGCGAACGATGAAGGCACAACAGTAAATCCATTGCAAGCCTCGGCGAAGCAGAGGCGATAAGCTGGCGAATTAGAGCGTCGGAGTTTCCTTTCAGTAACGGTGTTTTGCAGCTGCATTGGGGGTACGGCATGAATGAAAGCAATGCTGCTGTGCAGCAGCAATCCGTTAAGATTAAGGTGCTCTCATATCTTTCCGGACACTGCCTTTAAGGTTCAGCTGTAAGAAACCGGTGTATTGTTACTATTAGATAGGTTAGGAAATAATTTCTCTTTCTTGTAGGGTTTGTATAGATGTATGATACCGTTGGAAAGAGTAATTCAAAGAGAATCGGATGGTCAACTTTTTGCTTAAAAATTATTAGGTTGTAACAGAATTAGTGCAGGTTTTGAATTCCAACCGCAATAAGTCATACACTTCTCATTTCTAAGTAGGTTGCAAAACACCATTCGATAGAGCAAAGCAATCTCTACAAGGTGGCAATCTTGCTTTAGCAGGAACTCTGATCCACCACGAGTTTCGAGCCAAAAACTAAAAAGATTCAACTGGCCGAAAAATCGAGGAAAATCGTAACTGAGTTCATAAAAACCTATAGAAGTATTTCCGTTCTCTACAAGCTTTAGTTCTCGAGAAATTTGAATTTTAGCTTGGACCACATGACTAGCGAAACTGTATTCGATATTTTTCGAGAACTAAAGCTTGTAGAGAGCTGAAAAACCCTACAAAAATTCTAACTTGTTCACGTAAACACTATTCATATAAGACATCTATATACGCCTTTGCCATATTTTTTTCTCTTTTAAAAATCAAAAAAAAAAACGAAAATTTTCGTGCGTTTGCCAAAGTGATGCTGTGCCGTTCCCACATAACTAGTTGTATACTACAAATCTGTAGAAGTATAAACTTAAATTTTCAGCTCTCTACAAGCTTTAGTTCTCGAAAAATATCGAATACAGTTTCGCTAGTCATGTGGTCCAAGCTAAAATTCAAATTTCTCGAGAACTAAAGCTTGTAGAGAACGGGAAATTTACGTTTGTACTTCTATAGGTTTGTAGTATACATCTACTTATGTGGAAACGATACAGCATCACTTTGGCAAAAGCACGGAAATTTTCGTTTTCTTGATTTACAACAGAGAAAAAAATACGACAAAGGCGATATAGATGTCTTATGTGAATAGTGTTTACGTGAACAAGTTAGAATTTTTGTAGGGTTTTTATGAACTGAATTACGATTTTTCTAAATTTTTCGGACAGTTGAATCTTTTTAGTTTTTGGCTCGAAACTCGTGGTGGATCAGAGTTGTTGTTAAGGCAAGATAGCCACCTTGTAGAGATTGTTTTGCTCTATCGAATGGTGTTTTGCAACCTACTTAGAAATGAGAAGTGTATGACTTATTGCGGTTGGAAATCAAAACCTGCATTAATTTTGTTACATCCTAATGTTTAAATGATGTGGCGCAAGAAAGTAAAAAAAAAGATTTTTTGTCAAATTTCCAGAAAAACATGCTTCAAAAAACAGACTTAAGTTGGGTATAAAGTGTAGGAATAGTATGCACACATACGATTCTAATATTTTCAACCATTTGCATGGCCTTGGGTCAAAATCAAAGGATCTGGACTATCAGAAGTTGACCTCCGCGCGCAAATGCCTAGAAATTTTCACATTTTTGGCCTCTGAAATGCCTGAGCAGCAGGTCACAATCCAAGGTTATGTGTACCTAACGACCAAATTCATCTCTGCCTTACTATAGCTTGGCTACACCTAACAATATGCTACCGATGCTAGTGTTAACGCCGAATGCTATAAATGAAAAGTTGGCGAATTGAAGATTGCTGCCAAGTATTCCAGCTGACTGATGATATTTTCCAGGTGAAATTACGGGAAAACATACGACGCATAATTGGCCCTAGCTGCGGTGTTTTCGGTGTTACACTTTTGTTGCTAAAGAAGTGATGTGAAGCGATCTGGGAACATGAAATGAGGAGCATTTCTCTGAAAACCACAAAGTGAGAATACTGCCAAACCTGTGTACTTGCTCATAATCAGAACTGCGACTCGAAAGCGAGTTGAAAATAGTTGATATTTATTTTTGGAAGAATTAGATGAACAAAAATAAAAGCTTTTCACACGCTGGTATATAACAAAAGCATCACTTGCTTAAAGGGTCGGGCATACTACACGCGACTTCAGTCGCGACGCGATTTGACAATTTGCTAAGTTTTCAATCCAACACTAGCAAACTACCCCATGCATAGTGTGCATATTTAACTTACGTGGATTGATAAAATGCCCTATCTTCCGTATATATAAAATGTGCTTACAGTGAGTTATGGACGGTTGGAATACTGCCAAATCGCGTCGCGACTGAATTCTCGTGAAGTATGCCCGGCCCTTAAAGGCAGTGGGTCGGCAGAATGAGACCCGTGACAAAACAAGGTCACAGGGTAGGAGCCCCCATATGGAACCTATCGGCCAAAGTCCGATCTTTCTCTGCCACTTCTAACCCCCGAAATTTCAAAGCGAAAGCAGCGCTCATCTCCTGTCCTCTCCGATCCCGCCCACCCCATGGACGAGTGAACGCGAAGCCCGTCATGGCGAAGACGCAGAGTCGTTGCGGGACCTCATGCTTATAGCATTGCGGCTGGCGCTCTGGCCGCGGAAATCACTCGTCCATGGGGTGGGCGGTTCGGAGAGGACAGGAGATGAGCGCTGCTTTCGCGTTGAAAATTCGGGAGTTAGAAGTGGCAGAGAGAGATCGGACTTTGGCCGATAGGTTCCATATGGGGGCTCCTACCCTGTGACCTTGTTTTGTCACGGGTCTCATTCTGCCGACCCACTGCCTTTAAGACGCATGATTTCAAATGTTTTCAAGACTTCGACCTCAAGGGCTCCACGGTTTGCAGAGCACGCGTCGCGCAGGCCACACGCTTGTAGGAGTACATAGCGATCGCACCCGCGGGAGATTTTAGTCGCACCGCGTCCTCCGCAGTCTGCGCCTAGTTTGTGCACTCGACAACTCAGCCGTAAGGCAAGAGGCAAACTTTCCGACTGTGCTTGCCACCAGAGAACCTCGGACACTGCATATGAAATGTTTTATAGTTGTCCTATTTGGAAAGTTTTCTGGCGAGCAGTCGGAATCAACAGTTTGCAAAATCAAATAAAGTAGCGGAACCGCTTCTCGCTACTTTTCTGATTTTATGTACTGCTTGAGTGAAATGTTGACACAATATCAGACAGAGGAATTGTGCCTCTCAACTTCACCATATGGGTAAAGTAACCAACTTACTTTGGCGAGCAAACAAGATAAAATGAAAGAACATTTTGCCACTCTCGACAATTTGTTTCAAGTCTTAACAAGGTCAGACCTAGATTTCATTGTCATGGTGAGAATGAGACATGAATGTTCTTTCAATACTGCGGGCCTACAAAGAATGAACGTGCATATTGGTCTTGCAACACAAGAAGAAAAATTCCATTTACACGATACAATCACGTTCAAAGTCTTAGAACTCGTATAAGCAAAATGATTGCTTTATTTTCCCGCTTTTTTATCTAGATACTAGGGCTTGCAGCTGTAAAAAGGCTCAAAACTTTAGGCATATGAAGGCTATAAGCAGTGTAAGAAAAAAAAATACGATATGCTTTCTTTCAGTCGCAAAACTGCTGCCAACAACCATCTCTCCAAGCAGATTTCTCAATAAATTTCAATTTCAATACGGTCTCCAAATATACAAGCGGTCGCCGAAGCCTGGTAAGTTTACTTGAAGCCTGCATCAGTAACAACTCATATGTATATGATAAAAGAGTGATGGAAATGCTTAAATGGATGGATGACACTTCGCTCTTGCTTGGCACATCCATCTTGGATCACTGTAATTTCGTTTGTTAGCAGAGCATTGCCTTTTTTAGTTTATGCTAACCGAAACTGATTGAGCAAGAAAATCGCAGTGCGCTTGATGAAACTTGTTTATTCACATTTTCGACCCAAAAATCTCTAAATCCTTCTTTTGACCAAATTTGTAAAAAGAGAACGTTTTGTCCACAAAGCTATTGAACGGCTAAATGTGCATTTTTCACCATGAAAAGTGCAAGTGCTTTATAAAACTTCGTTAAAAATGAAGGTTTGCTCGCAATCTTGCAAATGTATCCAGAAAAGGCAGTATTTGCCCAAAGTTTGCAATGTAATGTAAACTGTTTAGTCTGGCCAAAGTAGCATTCTAGGCCACTCACAGGAAAACAAACATAATACTGTACTCTAACAAATTTGTGAAGGTGCATTGATAATTTCTTACAATTACATAAGCCTGCCCTTCTAACACCCTTGAGGAATCCAAATGTGATACGAAAATTTAAGACATGTCCTTGAAGACCGTCTCTTGTTTTTCTGTAAGAGAAACATGGCAACTGCATCTATGAAGCTTTGATGTGGATGGCGCCTATGTGTGCAATTGTAGGATTTGGGAAGTAAAGCCGACCTTTGGCATAAATCTACATATTTAAAAGTGGGCTCTTAACTTAGGTAAGTCAAGCTTCGTGCGCTATTTGAAAATATTTTGTGAGTTTGCTCTGCTTCATTAAATGATGTCGCTAGAACCGCCAATATAAAAAGAACTTTGTTGAGTTGAACAAAAACGAGTTCCAGGTAGAATTTGTATCACCTCAGCAAACATAGCCACTTCATTTTCCAATATGGAGCTGTGTATGTATTAGGTTGGCGGATAATTTCTGTTACACTGTTACACTTTTTTCGTAAAATTCTGAAAAGTTCCAAAAGTCCTCTAAAATCTTCAAAGTTGCTATGTAGACCACGGCAGTAAGTACACCACAGTATGACTGATGCCGCAAATGCACAATTAGCCAGCTATTTTACGACAACTTTGTGTGTACATTCAAAATTGTCATTTTTTCTTTGATGTTTTTCTCTGCGTCTAGTTGTGTTTTTTCTCTCCCATAATTTTTTTAGAACATATTTTCGCACCGCCTCTTTTGCGGTAGCACCTTGGTGCCGCTAGCGCTCCAAAAACAAGGAGTAAAAACAATTCAAAAAATCAATAATTAGTCGAGATTTTTCTTCTTATATACATCATTTGAAGGATTTGATACGGAAAGGTAGGATTTGATACGGAAAGGTTAAAAATAATTTTTGTAAAATTTTAAAGATTGTTTTTCATGTTAAAATTCCAATGTTCGCTGACATGGCGCAACATGTAGCTCATGTGGTCGTGTGCGGACATGATTGTGCCATCCCCCTATGTTCGCTATGGGCCATACCCTGCCTGAATTCTACATCGTCCGGTCTCTTCCCAATCACCTGGAAGAATGCCAGCCCGTTGACAAAAATGTCCATAAAATATACTCCCCTCCCCCTCCCCCCCCCCCCCACTCCCCCGATAAAGTGGGTGTTTTGCAAACGGACCGCGGAACTGACAGTACCGGCGGGTAGACCTTTGCACTCTGCCAACACTCCTTAAACATAAGAATTTTCGAAAGTTACTTAGATTTTCAAAAAATAAGAATAAAAGTGTAACAGAAATTATCCGCCAACCTAACTTCACTATAGCCTTCTAACATCAGTATAAAAAAGGCGCACACTCACTCAATTTCAGCTTCTCTGTGGCTGGTGCTTCATGCAAATATACAACAAAGCCTTTTTGATAATGAAGTGATAGCTGAGCTACCAGTGTTTGTATAAAATGTTTTCAAAGCATACATCTCTTTCTCTCCTAGATTTACGATATATAGTTTATTTGCAGCTATGCAATTAGTAGGGCTCACAATTCCTAAACGACCTTTTAAATGCAAAAGAACGAAATTGTGGAAATAAGACTCATGGAACCCATATTTAATCAATAATTCGTAAACGTAAAGCTTAATGTCCGTATCGGCATGAGATTTCGGTAAATGCATGGTTAGAAGAAAGTGAAACCCCGACAGCTGCCACTACAAGAGCATACGGGTAATCTACCTGTTTGTCAACAGTTTCCTTGCCTTATGTTATTTTAACACGTTGACGACGAGCCATTTTTTGAAGGTCTGTCCCTGTGGACGAACCGTTTCCGGGCATTTTCACAGCCGGCTGCACATATATATGCATGCATCTATGCGTGAGATACACAAATGCAAGTGGGCGGGGCAGCTCCGCCCACTTTTGGCAAACCCCGCCCACTTCTCAAAAATGCTGAAAATTGCTCAAAATCAATGATTTCGTGCAAATTCGGGCATTTTTGAAAAGTGGGCGGGTCTTGCCATTGAGGGGGTGGAGTCTGCATTACGGGGGGTGGGGTCAAAATTAAAATTATTTAAGGTTCCCCTGTCATCTATGAGCCTTTCTATGCGATTTGAGAACGAAGAAAGCCTTTCATAGAAAGCAATGGAGTGGGCGGAGTTTGCGAAAAAGGGGCGGGCCGGGGCCAACATGAAATACTTTTGAGCCTAACTTGATTATATGAACACAAATTGGAACCATTGTGCACATTAAAACTGATGTTTAGGGTGTCGCGCACCATTGCGCGACACCGTCGTATTAAGGGAGGTGCTCAAGGGAAGTCAGCTGTGAGCTGGCGGCAGACAACCCTAAGTCGTGAATGCTTCTTGATTTGCTAATTTCTAGTATGTTCAGAACTTCTGAGAGATATCTCGAAGGAAGTTGTGAGTGAAACTTGTTTGGATCCCTGCGAGATTCTCGCAGCGCTCTAGCTTTCAGTCAGTCAACTGCATCCTGCACAAATCATGGTTTTCACTTACTGCTGTCAGTTATCGGGAATAATTTTCAATAAGCAATAAATAAGCAATAAAGTGCACGAAGCAAATCGCGAAATTGCTGCTGAAAATTTCTGCTCTGTAAGCTACCAAATTCACTTTTTTTTTCTTTTTGATGAACCTTCTTTGCACATCACAAAGGGTAAAGTATCAAATAAACGATGGAGTAATTTTTGTACGCAAACACAATACGTCAAATTATTTTTCTGCTGAAACCTTTGTCAAAATATAAACGATGAGTTTCCGATAGATGACCTGCGTGGGAAGAACAAGTTGTTCCAATTATTTTTCCTCAAAACCAAGCATAGAAACTGCAAGAAAGGTCGAAAGTTATGATTTTATAATCTGGTATACGATCAATGTGCACAGTCATACAAGGTGCTCCGCAACAACTGTATCGTTTCAGAGAACAATCACTCATATTAGTCCCAGTGATCCTGATACTTGTATAAGAAATCATCAGCTTAACTGAATTAGATAGTCGGTTATCTCATCAATCCGCACAAATACGTTCTTCAAACAGTGATAAGTGCACAAAGAACTGACATCTGCCATCTGCTATTTGTCACCTTATTTTCTTCTAGTCTTTTTGAAGTACTGTAAATCCGTGCTGTGATTTTGTAACGGACAAATTCCACCCAGACTCATATTAAGGCTCTTTATAGGCTCAGATTACGGCTTATTATACACCAGTGCGTCACCTCTGCTTCGCAGAGGTTCGCACTGGCTCTACTTTATCTATGCCTTACTCATTCTCGCATAATAATTGCATTGAAACTCACCACGCTGTATAGGTTATAATGATTCGATAACAACTACATTCCTAAAGGTTTTTCGTGTGAGATCGGTATTTTCGCGTAGAAAAAACCTTTTCCAGAAGAACAGAGCAAATTTGAATAGATTTTTGAAATTTTTATGGCTTCGCTCGCCATAAGGACAGTAAACATCGTGGGCTACATCTTCGTGCAAAAACCTTCTCAAATGATCAGGTAAAATCTTAAAAAGTTGACCGTTTATACAGCCAATGCTATTTGGCGCTGTTTTCGTAAAGTAGTAGAGTTTTCACACTTCTTTAGGCTAACGTCCATGGCTTGCACATTAACTTGTCAAATATATCCATAACTCCGCAAAAAGTAGTACTACGGACCCAAATTTGCTGGCCAGAAGTCAAGTGGATCCGTTTGAAGCGCAATTCTCAACGGATCCACTCAACGGATCCGATCATATTTTTGTATAGTGAGCTTTCATGCTGGTAGCAAGCGCTATGCAAAATTTGGTCTAAGGACGTTGGCTGGAACACGCTCTACGAATTTCGTAACGGACAGACGCACACACATGACATACACACAAAAAGATGTAGACATCCTTAGCCGCTTATTATAAGTCATGATATTGAGTTATCGCGTTGACAGTAACTCTTGTCAGAAGGTAAAGCAGAGAAAGAAATCTGTACTTTTAACCACTAATCATCCGTATAAATACGCAGCTGAAGAGGTGCAACTCACTGTCAGCTATTTCCGCAACGTATAGGAAAACGTTCCTATCAAAATATCTTTTTATCTTTAGCATAGTAACATACTGCATATTTTCTTGCATCTTTTTTCTGCAATTATACTTGAATCATGGCTTGCGAGCCAGCATAATCCTTGTTACATTACTGAAATAATGGTAAACTATCATAACTTATAATAACGGGCTAAGGATGTTTACGTGACTTTGTGTGTGTGTGAGTGTGTCTGTTACGAAATTCGTGGAGCGTGTTCCAGTCAGCGTTCTAAGCCCAAATTTTGTGTAGCGCATGCTACCTTCATGAAAGTCCATCATGCAAAAGCACGAGTAGATTCGTCGAGTGGATCCCTCAGAAATTGCGCGCCAAACGGGTCCACCTGGCTTCTGTACCGCAAAATTCGGTCCGTATCACTACTTTTTGCAGAGTCGTGGATGAGTTTGGTAAGCAAATGTGCAAGCGGTGGAGTTTAGCCAGAAGAGTGGTCGAAAGTTTACTACATAAGGAAAACGGCGCCAAAACGAATTGGTTGTGTAAATGGTCAATTTGCCAAGGTTCTAGCTAAGCGTTTAAGAAGATTTTTCATCAGAGATGTAGCTCACGGTTACTATTGCCTCTATGGCGACTACCAAGGTGTGACAAATCCAAAAAACTATCCAAATTTGCGTTTGTCTTCCTGCGAAAAGTTTTATCCACGCGAAATCACCGATCTCACGTAAAAAGACTTTCTAAATGAGTGGTTGTTTACATTTTATTCGTGGTAGTCGGCATAGGGCAGTAAGTTCCAGTGCCACGATTTTACGAGAATGAGTAAGGCACATAGATAGTAGAGCCAGTGCGAACCTCTGCGAGGCAGAGGTGACGCACTGGTGATTTATAAGGCCCAAACACAGGGGCAACGGAAAACGCTTCAGGCCATTCATCAAAAAGTTTGATCCTTTTTGCCAAATCAAAATTTGTGAAGTAATTCTTGTAAACCTACAATTTCAACCAATTGATACAGAAATGTGCCAGGACATTAGAAGTCATTGTGAAGCATGCAATTAGAGTCTTCTCAGTACCCTTAGAAGCTCAAACAAATAGTTCTTGGTTTCGGAAGAAACATATTGGGAATGAGTCTTTCGCAAATTGGATAACTACAGTTTCATAAGTCTTACCAAGAAAGAGAGTGTAAATGAAGTGGCTATTAATGAGAGGAGATAGTTTCGCGATGTTGTATTTTTGATACGCTTTCGTCATCCCTCTGTTATGAACCCCTACATATTGCTTCCCATAAGCAAAATAAAATTCGGCAGAATGGCCTCGAATATTTGCAGAATGTCCTTGCTGATCTTCTGTGCTCTCGCAACATTAGCTTTTGCCGCTCATCCTCTTGTGCAGGAGCTGCGAGAATATCCATGTGTGGACGGTGTAAATAACGTGGTGACACTTGAAGACATTGACACAGGTGGTTTTCGAAACTATGTTATGTGACATGCTGCTACAAGGATCATGAACTTCAGCGGGTACCAAAGTCCATGTGGATGGTGTTGTTGCACAGCTGTACGATGCGAATAACAACCCATCGTGCAAAAAGGGCAAACCGATGGTCGCAATGCCAGGATTGATCAGGCTCGTGAAAGGTGCGGTTAGTAAAGCATCAGCGCACCCATGATATTGAAGTTATGGTAAATACGAACACAAGCAATTCGTTATTGTAGCTTATTTTCAGGCAAAATCATTGTCAAGGAAGGAACAGATATTAAGCGTTCCGCAGTAGCCAGATGGACAATCAAATTTAAGAAGTTGATTAAGACTTATACTGTGTGCAAGGATGGCGTGAAAGATACTATCCTCCCCATCCCAAATGTAGATAAAGTTTGGTAAGCGCTACTGTTTTTTTGGGGCTCACTGCATTTTCCGCTACCATATTTTGAACCATGCAACGCGAACTGCAATGCAGACCATTGTCGATGGGGCCCTTCGTTATATGTTAGTTTCTTACAACATGATAAGTGCTTGTATTCAGCAAACAAGACATCTCAGACATTGGTGACTTTGCCAAGGTGCTTGCCACACCAGGAGAGTATGACTTAGAAGAGGTGCGCTTGTTACCTTTCGGTTTCTACTATGAAAATTGGAACTACCACAAAAGTGTACCTTTCAGATTCTAAAAACTGCCGGTGTGAACGCTAAGATTAAGATACCAGAAGTCAGTGGCGTAATCAGCGGAGCCGTCAAGGTTTGTGACTGTTACATGTAGCAGCCCCTGATTCACTAAAGTGTTTTATTGTAGGGTAATTGGCAAGCTGCATTGAAATTCGAATCTGAAGGAAAGACCATTGCTCACATCAAGGCACCAAGTAATGATTGGCTCTACGTTGAGTAGATTATGGAAAGTTGTGATAGTAAAAAGCGTTGAACGAATTCCACACGTTTTTTTTCTCGACACTGATAGCACAATTTAGTTTCTTCCAAAGATTTTTTCTGTGATGAACGAACGCACTGACGATGACGTTTCGTCGCTAAAATCGTCATGGAGTTGCTAAAATCCTCGCTGAGCATAAAGAAACGACCGTGATGTAGAAGGTAGCGACTTAGTTTCGTACCAAAACGAATGATTAATAAGCTACCGACGCCTAAACAAAGACAGCGATTTACACATCACAGCGCAACTTGCGCGTATTGGTTGCTCCATTTACTATAATCTAATCACCGTATATTCAAGGCACCATTCGTCCATGTAAAAGTCACTCTCGTTCTTGTGGCTCTGTTTCAGAGGATGAGGTTCAAATAGCATAAAAATCCCCAAAAAAAATTCGCTTTTAACTGTAGATCTTTTCCATATCCCAGCAAGCGCGGACTAATGCGAGAAGAAAGCACCGTCACGCAAGCAGGACGCATTCCGAAGTGGCAAGCCAGTAGCTTAACAAAATGCTATCAATCCATCTTTTTCATGTCAAAGCAATTTATAGCTAGATCGCTGGGTGGGCGCGCAGGCCTAGGGCAGAAGGGAATGCAGGGTGCAGCACAGAATTCGTGAGTGCAAGCTACGTCTGGCAAAAAAGCGAGTATCGTAAAACATGCTATGCAGGCAAAAAGGCATTGTCTAACTAAAACATTGACTTGCATGTTTTTGCCATTTCCTGCCTTTTTTAAAGGCAGTGTATTGCCAAAATGGACCGCTCCCGATTTTGGAGCTGTTAGGTAGTAGAACCCCTCCCTCCAGTACACTGTAGCCGCAACTCTACTTGCCAATTTGTACGCTGTTTTGGAAAATACGCTTCAAAACCTCACCAACCCCGCTCTCCCTCCCGTTGAGGTATTTTACACTTCACAATCAACGAATAGGCGAAAAAGGAAATAAGGAGAGAAGAGAGCTCGCACATACGCAGCCCAACAGTAGTTATTCTTGGGTAAGCAAACTCAAACGCTGTATCACGTTTTGACCTAAGACATAAACCATATAGTGGGTTGAGAAGAGATGCCAAAAACAAACAGCACGTTTTTACCTTGAGCGCATCAACTCCACGGATCACCGGAAAGCCAAAAGAAGTCGAGATAACTTGAAACACCTAATGTAGGATCCTCGAGGTTTGTGCTAGCGAATCACAACTTGAATGGAAAATTTTTTTTCTTGGAGATAACGCTAATGGTGCCAGGCACAGCCGCTTAAAGGCAGCGGCTCGGCACATTTTCAACCTCGGGGTTTTGGCAGATTTGGGGCTATTCCGGCCCCTGAATCACGACATGGATTCCCCTTGGCACGAAAATGGGGAAAGCCCCGTCTTTTGAAACCCCCCTTGAGATGGGCGCGGACGAGTGAGCCGTTTTTCTCTGCCGTGAGAGACGCAGAGTAAGGAGATAGAGAGCACTGAACAATTCTGCCCTACGAAGCTACGAGTGACGGCGCGCTTTCTAGCGGAGAACATACTCGTCCGAATAAGGTGTTAGGGGAGCGACGGTTGGGACGTTCCCTGGCTTGCAGAGTTCACATTTTCGGCTCGGAGTTGCTGTTTTGGTTCACTTAAAAGGCCTCCTATCCATCGTCAAAATCTGAGGTAGCTTCATTCTGCCGAGACGCTGCCTTTAAAAGGTCAAGCCCTCTGAGCTTGCTTAGCTATGTACTTGACCCACTTAATTCGTCTTCGAAATTCAGAAATTGCTTTTTTCTTGGTACATGTACTGAGCTCGTAGCCTCTTCTTATTACAGTAGGAATTTGGAACACTTCTGGAGAAATTATCGCTCTTACAATAGGTCTATCCAAACTAAAATTCGCTCCTGCTCAAATCTGGCCGTGTTCCCAATATGTCGCAATTTCGTAAGCGCCTCGCCCGTGTGAGGATCTCTCTCTGGATCTGTCCCAACTTTTAATCGCTCGATCCTCTTCTTTCCAAGCATTATGACAATTACCATAAAAATTATCAAGATTCACGAATACATGATACATTAACAAAGCGGAATAACCAAATTCTTGAGTTGGATATTTATTGTCGTGGCAGTACAACAACAATCGTTCTTAGTTATTTTGTTTACTGATGTGCTTAGCAGTTGTGCAGATTATGATATAGAATAAAAGACTTTCGAAGAAGTCTTTTGTTGCCAGATCATCAGGACAGAAAATCCAATGACTAGGCGATGAACAAACATTCGGGATCTTGGTTTCGCTGGTTTATTTGTTATTAGTAGTCATCAATACTCAGAAAGTGAGACCGCGAATGTCTCAAATGCTTCATCCGGAAGATTTGAAAGTTCCAATCTCAGTTCAACGGATTACTGAAGCAGGCTCCCTATGTGACCCATAACCCGACTTGCGATAGCAAAATGCTGCTTCTGGAGAAAAGCTTCAGAAGCCCGGCAAGCACTAGAACTAGTCTCGTCTTTACCAGAGCATGAAAGCTTGATAGGATACGCTGTTGCACCAATGACAGCGTCGCAGCGGTCGTATGCAATACAATTTCCTTCTCCGGTAAGGACGAGACTGAATCGGGAGGAAGGGGACGGCTGCGTCGGAATTTCTTAAGCTATTTTCTTGCTTCGGTAGCGGTATTCTGCAGACCCAGTAGCGCTACTTCATGAATGGCGAGCCTGCCGCAGCAATACGTTGAGATTAAGGTGTTCCCAAGTTGAACTGGACAGTGTCAGTTTAATTCGATGCATCAGTGCTCTGTTACTAGCATGCTAGTGCTACTGATGCTAATTTTAGTGATGGGTGTTGATGTGAAACGCTTGCAGTCATTGCAGATAAGTATCAGCTGATCAGTGACTCCACATCAGAAGCATAAACATCGTCATTGGGATTACGAAAAAACAAAGCTAATTGTAAGAAGCCGATTATGTTATTATTTAATCGGACGGTAAACACCAGCTACGCTTAACTGCAGCGTCCGGTTAAGCTGATTGTGAGAAGTCGATTATGTTATTATTCAATCGAATTCCGTAGTCCGCCGTAGGTGATGTTTTCGGTTCGTCCGAGCAGGGAACGGAAATGTATACTGCGCGTCACTCTTTCCTCGTGCACTCGCCTTTTACCTCTGTGCCTCTTCCAGTTGAGAACTAATTTTGATGTATGCAACAGCGTTGCCCTCCGAGCACAGCGCGGACGGTCTATATACTTGTTATTGCTTAAGGAGGGGCGAAGCGAAATCGCGAGAAAGAAGCCTTTCCCAAAAAGCCGGAAAGCGAGAATACCGCCAAAGCGGTGTGTAGGTCATTTATCAAATCGTGACAACGGTTTGACCGCCCACAGAAGTGTAAAGCGTTCATAGCAAACGGCATGACCTCAACACTTAGCTCAGTCAATTCCGATGTCTAATTACTACTCAGATAATCGCCGTTGGCAGGCGGTCCGCATACTCGCCCTTTTTTGCTGGTGGTCAGCAGAAATTTTAGGCGAGGCCAAATCCTCAATAAACGGTAATTCCTTTACTGTTGTATGTTCTGTCAGCGGGCAGCAAAACAGCATTTTTTGCAATCGCTTGGCAAATAATTACTTTCAGCGCGCAGAGGCCAAACTTGCAGCGAGCGCTCTGCCTCCTGTTACGCAGTTTCGGGCGTATGCCAAGCAAAGGTAGCACTCTATACGGCAAAGATTCATCAGTGGTTTAATTATCCGAGTATGGGGTTTCTCCCAGCTAAAAGGACCTACGGGCTGTGCTGCCCTTCACAAAGTACCTTGCGGCCCTTAATAATTTTTTCACGGAAAGTCCGCGAGAGTGCGGCCACTGCGCCGCGACTAATTTATGGAAAAACATATTCTTTGAGCGTTACTCTAAAAAATGGCGAATAATCTTTCAATTATCTGCAAGCGGACCGCAAGGAACCAGCAAACTTTTCCGGTGCCCGCTTGCCTATAAATCGCATGATCGCCTACCCCCTGCGATTTTCTTAGCACATACACACATACACACACAACGCACACAGCACACGCAACTATTTTCCGTGCCCTCTTGACTAGAAATCGCATGGCCGCCTACCCCTGCGATCCTATGAGCACACATGCACACAACACACACACAACACACAACACACGACACAAAACACACACAACACACAAAACATACACGCATACAACACACGTACAGAGTTTTATCACAGCTCTATGTATGAGATAGCACGCGTCATTTGCTTAAGAAGCTTTCAATTTATCTTTAGTTTTCGACAGCACGGACTCTCCGTAAATTGCAGAACACGCTCCTGAGCAAACGCTTATAGCAGCACAAATTTATCGTGCTCTTAGGACATCGCAGCAGCACCACGTGTGCTTTCCAATCTGCTGCCAATCCGTGCGCTCAACTCAACGTTAGATTGATAGGCATATTTTTTGACTGTAACTATTACCGGAGACCTTGAACACCTGAATAAAGTGCTTTGAAAGTAATCTGTTGAAAATATTCGGGCGAAAGCAGTCAGAACTAATAGTTTGCAATATCAAAGAGAGCAACAAAACCGCTTTATGTTAATGCCTGGTGGAAACCAGACAAAGAAATTGTGCTTTTCACAAAGGAATGGTCAAAATTCAAAGTGGCCAATGCCAGCAAGCCGTTTACCGTTGAACACTATGAGAGCCGGTTACATATACGCCTTCGGTATCTGCTTATTGTCTCTTACACGAAGTTATGGCCCTCGATTCCGCCGTGGGGCCGTCGCTCATCATAAGTACTAATCGCCCAGCAGAAATCGAGTTGGACGCCAGGTTTTTGTCTGCAGGTTCGATTCTTTTTGCTTGCTTCTCCTTTGCAACCCAATACCAATGACTATATTGTTAGCACGAAGTCCCTCACGCGGTTAGAAATGTAATTCAACATCATCTAGAAGCTTCGGAGACTTTTTATTGGATATTGAAAGTACAAGTAGATTCGGATGAAAATTATTGTAAGCAATTATGAAAGGCAAAAAGCTTCTTGCATCTCAATTCATCAACATCTTTATC